GGTTTTATAACCTACAGGTCCCCTCATTGCACTCTAACATACTGTCGGTCTAACTATGCATAGGCTGGGGTGTGTACATGCTGAGCATTGTCTCCTCCCTCATAGAATCACATCTTTGAAGCTGATGTGGAGGATTTTTCATACATGACAGTACATGAAAATGTGCTTGTGTGTGTCTCTGGACGCCCATCGGGCCGTTCCACGTTGTCCTTTTATAAAGCCCGCCTTCGGCTGGCTCGTTGGATAATTACTTCGCTCAAAGGCTCAGGCACCGGCCTCCGGCTTAATAGAAGCGAAGTCAGCACGCACGGCGTTTTACATGGCGTTCCCATAGCGTAAGCTTACGCAATAGGAGGAACCTCTCGAAAGGGAACGACTCGGTTACTAACGTAACCTCGGTTCCCTGAGAGGAGGGAACGAGTATTGCGTAATCTGCCGTGCTTGTGCTTGGTCAGTTTGCTTCAGTCGATTGAACCTAAAGAACTCAGACGACGGGGCGCCCAATATATAGCCCTTGGCCACGCCCATCTTGGCGGGCTCTGACGCGCGTGGGCGCGAAGCACGCTCATTGGAAGCGGGTTCAGAGTCGCCCCGTCATTGGTTCGTGCAAGTTGCCGCAGCACAGCCAATGACCGAGCTGCCTCGCTCATTGCTGTATGCTGTGCAGCTGCAATGCGTTTTACATAAAGACTTCAATATTTCTCGAGAAAAGGAGTTTTCCCATAGCGTAAGCTTACGCAATACTCGTTCCCTCCTCTCAGGGAACCAAGGTTACGTTAGTAACCGAGTCGTCTCTTTTGCACTGATAAGGAAAAAAGTGAGCTGGTATCGCCGGCGATACCGCCGACCCCAGAGGGTTAATATTATAAATGTATAAAAAAGAAGTTTGAAATATGTGAGCACTGAGCAGTCATATACTGTTAGCAAACATCCGACGAGACCCACACTGATGGACATGTTAATATGTGCTGTGTGCTTCCCTTTCAATAACAAAATGAGTATACAACAAAAATGACAGCGATGAGAAAACAGTAAAGAAAGCATCTGATCATAGCGATGTGGATGTTTGCACGAGCTCTGCAATTCAGCACTCCAGTAAAGTCACGTCATGTTTATTTGTATACCACTTTACACAATATTGTTTAGAAGCAAACAGCTTTACAGTATTAAACATGAAAAAACAGTGTCAGTAGCCAAGTTTCCATCCACTTGTCAATCGAATTATCTGAAGCTCGGTAAAAAAAAAACTCATGCGAATAAAGGTGGTGAAAGTGTGTTTCCATCCAACGGCTTTAAAGAGAATAAAAACCTGTGCGTAATGACACGCTGTTTTGCGATCAAATTGGTATATTGAATTGATTTGAGACATTTTAAGGTGTTTCCATTCATTTTCGCACTGAATTGCACAACATTCAAGCAAACACTTGCGAACAAAGTTTTGCTAGACAAAATAGATCGCGCCATCTACCAACAAATGATCAATATTGAACAAGTTGTAGCCTAATAGTGCTTAATATGCAGCTGATAGCGACATACGGGATAATGTATAGCGAGGCGGTTGTTAGCCTGAAGGGGTTGTATTTGCTATAACAACCGCCTACCAAATAAATCAATAATTTGACACAAAATATTGATTTAAAAAGGAGTTTATTGAGTTTATTGATAAGTAAACGATAATACAAACGATTGTATTGGTTCCGCTAAAGAAAATAGTCCGTTCCGGGGCGTTGTTAGACCCCTTTTACTGGGGCACGTGCCCCAGTATAATCTGCTGTGCCCCAGTAAATCTGAAGTTTGAGTTTAACAATTTATTTTATTTGTCAGTGTATGTAATAGAAATTATATTATAGGGTAATAGAAATTATCTTATTTCCATTGATTTACGGCAAAAGAATAACATTTGAACTTGACACACAACGTAATGACGAACGCAGTTGCCCAGCCCTGTGTGTTTGAACTGAGAGAGGCGTCAAAGCTTACGCTACTCCTACATCTATGTCATACATTTTTAAGTGTTACTCTTGTGGCGTAGTTTTAAATATGGGCATTTTTCTTACAAGAACGCGTCGCTTCACTTCAGAAGGCCGTTATTAACCCCTCTGATCTGTTTTGGACACTTTTATGATGGATAGATGCACTTGTATGGACTTAAAAAAAATGGGGCCCATTCACTGACATTAGTTTGGAAGAGCCAGGACATTTTTTAATATAACTCTGATTGAATTCGTCTGAAAGAAGAATGTCATATACACCTAGGATGGCTTCGGGGTGAATAAATCATGGGCAAATTTTGGTGAACTATCCCTTTAATTGTACTGTACCTTTATGTTCCTTTTGGAGCTTGAAGGTTTGGTCCCCATTCAACTTCCATTGTTTGAGCAAACAAACAGACATAATTTCTCCTCGACAATATCTTAATTTTTCCTCCAAGAGAAAGAGACAACATAAGGTTAAGTAAATGATGAGAGAACTACCATTTTTAGGTGAACAATTACTATTCAGGTGTTCATAGAACAAACAATAGGCAAACTTACAGTTTCTTGAAGAAGCAGTCATTGCTTCTCTACAAAGTAAGCCTTCATGAGTTGAACTACAATGACAAGAAAAACATAATGTAAAGAAGAGATACATAAAAAATAAATAAACAAAATAAAGTCTCAATAAAAAAGAAAAATCTGAAAATCGACATTCCGTCCATCCGTCTGTTATGCTGCTATTTCTGCAGCGGTTTGAACACGCACGTTCACAGTACACAAGAATTATGAATTTTTATCATACCTCACGTATATTTTGCTAAGATAAAGATTGGGACATGTGTCCGTTGCATATGCATAAAGTGTGCATGTGACGGTAGCAAACCAAATGCAGTCTGAGAATGCTAACGAGCTCACAAACAAGCTATCATATTTTACTCGGTTACTTTTTCCATGATTAAAACATGCTATATCATGTCATCTTACACTTAGCTGGATCATTTTTATACTGTATGTTAATATTTAGAGGTAGCCTACTTGGTAACTTAGGCTACAGATCAAATCAAATACGTAGTTGCAAATAACAGTAGCAGCCCACACAGGGTTTCTGCAGGGTTTAGTCAGTCAAATTTAAGACCTTTTAAGACCTTTTTATGACCAATATGATTTAAATTTATGACCTACTCGAATTACGAAAAATAACTTCCTTTCAAAAGTCTTTTTTTTATTGACTTTCATTAAAAGTAATAAGTTTAATTATTTAAAGGTTCCATTTTCTTAAGAGTAACAAACTGAAGGCTCCCTTTTCCTAAGTATCAATAACACAGGAACAACACAACACTTATCACGATAATATATCAGTCAATATCGATAATTATGACGATAAATGTCAATTCTTTATTTCTTTGAACTTTGAAGGCAGATTTTTGTTCCCAACTGAAAGTTGTAGAAACCAGAGCGTTAATTGTGGTTTTAAACTACTCTTTATTGTCAAAACATATCATGACAAACACTTGCCAAACAGGTGAACATTTCACAAATCTGAGGTAGAACATTCAAACATTTGTATTTTTTCCTTAACAAAAATAATATCTTTATTTCAAAATTAATTTCTTAGTTTCTGCATGTGCTAATGGGGGATATTGTTTCAAGTCTTGAAAGAGGTTTGTGTTGCCTGACTTTGATGGCACGTATCTTTATGAAATGTATGAAAAACAGTAGGCTATAGCCTAAATACATAAATACTGTAATTATATTCCATTAGTCCTTTAATACATTGTCTACATTAATAATATAATACAATTCAATATGTATCCCACATTTCATGGAGCAGTTAATATTACTAGGCTAACGTTACAGTAAAACCATGGTAAAGGATGTAAATGTGTAGATGGAAAAGCTTTCTGACTGTATAGTTGCGCACAGTGTTTCTCCTGTTCGTCAGCGCTGTTTCATCTGCCTTTAAACTGGTTTAAATCACTGAGACATTTGTGTTCTTCGCTGAATTCAAGTGCTTCTCACTGGATCTCGTGATCGAGACTGATCAAAGTTAACCATAGACAGTAAAAGAACGCGTCTGCTCTAGTGAGCTTGATCGCGCTACGCTGCCGTTTGGACTTTGAGCCGAGCGGATAAACGCTCCGTGAGGCGCGCGCGGTTCAAATGAGTTTCGTTCCGCTTTTGGCGCATAAACATGATCTAACATTTATCGAACTCTTGATATCGTTTTATAGAGAAAACATTATATCGCGATAATGAATGAATGAGCATATCAATTTAAGACGTGGCTAAATGTAATTTATGACCTTGTATGGAAAAGCCGGACGTTTTTATGACTTTTTATGGCCTAAAATTCTTATTATTAAATTTAAGACGTTTTATGACTTTTTATGACCCCGCGGAAACCCTGCCACATGGAAAGAACCTATATAAACATATATGTTTTAATATAGGTTTTGATATAGGATTTCAATATATGTGACATATATAAAATTGGCCGTTTTCCTATATTATATGTACATATATGCACATACATGTACATATATGTGTGCATATATTTGTACATATATACGTCCATATATGTACTTATATAGGTGCATATATGTGTGCATATATGTACATATATAGGTGCATATATGTGTGCATATATGTGTGCATATATGTACCTATATAGGTGCATATATGTACCTATATAGGTGCATATATACGTGCATATATGAACCTATATAGGTGCATATATACGTGCATATATGTACCTATATAGGTGCATATATGTACCTATATATGTGCATATATATGTGCACATATATGTGCACATATGTACCTATATAGGTACATATATGCACGTATATATCCAGCTATATGTTTACCTATATATTAGTATAATTATTAAAATCCATAGCTACTAGGCAACATAAATAATAGCCCAAAATGTAAAAATTTAAATTATTTATTTACTCAAGAACAATCAAATAGTACAAGAACAAAAATAAGACAAAAAACTGTACAGAAAAAACAAACAATTTATCTTGTTGATCTTCTCAGCTCCGTGAGCTTCGAATTGATAGATGTGCCTATCTGCCCTCGGCTGGCTGCCGGCCACTTCTTCAATGTAGCATCTAGAGAAGACAAAAATAATAAGACAGTATAATAATAATAATAACAATATATTGCTTCATCAGGAACCCAAAGTGCTTACAGTACAGCTGCGATTGGACACACATTTTGGATAAAGGGCTGGTCAAATAAAAAAATTCGTCATGTAAACACGTCAATTGGAAGATTCTGATTGGATTCTGCTAAATCTGAAAGAAATTCTGATTGGAAACATCATCCCCCTTTTTTTTTTAGCGGCATCGTTCTTTCATATGCACATGTCCGTCATGGGGACTGCATTGTTAACAGTCACACAGTCAATCATGTGCATCCAAAGCAGAGAAAATTCATGGATAGAAAAATTTCAGAAATGTGGCTTTAGAAGAGGAAAGGTAGCATCAAGAAGTGAGTAAGCAATGAATTAGTATTATAGGTTCCAAGCAGATACAGTAACAATAATGGGTACCCTACATTATACAGTCTCCATTGATGCCTAATAAACATTGATACAAGTAGCCTATGGTTAAAGTGGTGAACTTATAAAGTCTTAAAAGTTTTGTTTTCCCTTCTCAACGCATTATGCATTTACTCACCAATAATGGCTGCCTTTTTAATTTGGTCAAGGGCGACCAGCTGCTCCCCATCCCCTCTGGTTGGCTTCCCACCTTAAAGTAATATTTCAAAATTATTATGAAAGGGGGGTAAAATGAAGGTGGTGAAAACAAGAGATTTTTTATATACACATCACATTTTCTTGAGGTGCAAGGAAATACAAAAATGGCAAGTAAAAAAGCGATGGTATGCCCGCACACAAACATAATTTATTCCACAGAATATGACTGACTTGTTTTTTTGAAGGACAGAAGAGATTAGGAACATGTTGTTTAGTACCATTCAGGTTGCTTTTCAGCAAAGTATCCAAATCAAAGGTGCCCAGCAGCAGATTCGGTACCATGGCAGTGGCAGAGGTGGCAAGGCGGGCTGCTTTCCACGCTTCTGCCTGGCAAAACACCCCAGAGGCCTTTATAACTTCAATCTGAAAAATAATTTCACATCAATTTCATATTAATTTATTGGCAACTTTTAGAAACTTTTTCATGTTTCATATTGATTATTATGCTTAGCTTCCCAAAAGTTAATAGGTTATGATGTATAAATGCAGATTAATGATAAAGATATGAAACAAATTAATCATTGCCCTAAACGTTATTAAAGGAGAGAAGGAGGAGGTCTGATGGAGAGTAGGGAAGGAGAAAAGACAGTGGGTGGAGAGGAGTGAAGGTGGGCAGGAGAAAAGGATGATTGTCTCTTATAACACTAATTGGCTCCTACAAAGCACACAGTTTATACCCATCCTTACTACATATGCCTTAAGTAAAATAAGTACAGAAAAATCTGAGGTATATAAGCGTTACACACACCTGTGGTGTCTCTCGAAAGCACTCAGTCACCATGGGACTCTCTTTAAAGGGCTCGGTCTCCTCTCTGGAGTCTTAGAGAAGAAAGAAACTTAGTAAAACTCTACAACAATTTTTATTCATCCAAGCAAGCCACTATAGATTCTTATTTACAGGGGGGGCTTAGAAAACATTAAACATGTCAATAAATTCATAGGCAAACATAAAAAATAAAAATAAATCAGCCAAACATCATAAAAATCCATATAGCTCTGTTTGAGTAACAAGTTAACTAAATAAATAAATAAATACAAATGCAAGGGGGTTACTCACCGGTTGCACTTCTCCAAAAGTCGAGGAGACATCTAGATCCTCCACAGGACTCCTTCCAGTCTTGTTCATAGAACAAAAATATAGTCATTCTCTTCAATAAATTAAAGTGCAAATACATCAAATAATTAACACTATCAATCAGCCCAACATCACAAGTCTCTACAGCTCTGCTTGAGAAACAATTTTAAAAAGCAATGAAAATCAGTGGAACTTACCTTTTGAGCAATAATGGCGAGGTCACTTTTCATTTGAGGGATTTCTAGCAAGAAGTTATATAGCCTAAAGAAAAAACAATTACAATCACTAAAACAGAATAGCACCCAGCAACTCAGTGCCCTAACGTTAACGTTACTCTTCGAAAGACATTTCCTGCAGCTGTGAACGCAAGCTACAACCCTCCAAAGCCCATTGATAAGGCTCTGGAGAGGAAACCTGGTTGTGAACGCAATTAAAAAAAATGTCTTTCTCCAATTTCTTCCAAATTCAAATTCCCCAGGGTTTTTTTCTGGAGCCGATTGACTTCTTGAGCCGTTGAAGGCAGAGAAGCATCATTTATTCTCATGGACTGTATGTTCTCTAGGCCATGACTTTTGTTAACCCTCTACTAATTCCTCTAGAAAGAGACACATAAATATAATTCTAATTTGAATCTTATCAACGGCTACGTTATATGAGCACCCACAATAACTTTACCTCAGTTAACAACATAGCATGTATTTTGCCAAACACGTGTTAAACTTTCAGCCCATACTATTTCTAAGTTTATACTTCTCTGCCACCGCAATATCCATCTCCAGAAAAAACCCTGCTAATAAATATTAGAATTAGGAATACTTACGATTGATGATAAGTAGGACATAGCGGATCTCCAACGCTGATATCGCCATTTTCACTCCCAGCCGATATCTTTCGGCGCAAATCGTCAAACGTCAGGCGGATGACGTCATCAACTACGCGGCGCTGTAGCCATGGTAGCAGCAGAGTGGAGAATTTTTTTTTTTTTTTTTTTTCTCAAAATTACAGAGTTTGATATCAAGTTCTTGACACATTTCTTTTACAGATTTTCACATTTGATAAGTATAAGTTGAAACAACAATTTAGGAAAAAAAAAAAAAAAAAAAAAAAAAAAAAGATAAAGGCCACCTCAAACATATAAGATTCATTTAGCAGAGATACAGATCTTTGGGCTTTTCGATTTTTTAAAAACTCAGACTCAAAATGCTTGTCTTCAAAATCATTAACCATAGTGAAATGCTCAGATAGATGGGATGATGATGATGATGATAATGATGAAGAAGATGATTACTTCAATGTATGTTCTGTTCTTTTTTTTTTCTTTTTTTTTGTTGCTACATTTAGACTGTAATGACCTTTCAGCCATATTCATATAGAAACTGCATTAAGACAATACAGAAAACATTGCATTTTGCATTGCATTTGGTGGAACGGTGAATGTGTGGATGTGTATGAGCTGTAATGTAAATCTGGAAGTGACTTGAAATTGGAAAAAGGGCTTGATTGACAAAATAAAAAAACAACAAACCATTTTGTTATTTCCTTCTTTTCCACTATCTTCATACAAGAAAGAATTGACCTTGTAATAGCTTTCCATCTCCTCTCACTTAATTGCCATAGTTAAATTCCATAACATGCCAATTACATGTGATACCAATTTCACATGTTCGCACATATACAGTTCTTGCATAATTTCTTTTTTTAGTTAGTTCTAGTTATTGCCTCGATAATAGAAAATATGAGCTATAGGCATCATGTATGACAGTTGCCAAAGTGAGGTACTGTATAATGACCAGATCCTGCCATGAGCTATATAGGAGTCATGTATGCACATATAGGGCTTATATGTGGATAAAAAGAAGCAATACAGGATACCTATATGCATAGGTATATGCACATATGCACCTCAGTTTTGCCTATATGTGCAATATTATACGCATATATGCAGCATATATATTATCATATATGTGCATATATGCTGTATATATGAAGCATATATGTGCATATAAACTGCATATATGTTTCATATATGCGCATATATCCTCATATAGGTTCTTTCCATGTGGGAGATAATGAACAGTTTGAATCTCACTTTAAAATTGTAACCACACAAGAAGAAGAAAAAACATTTCACACTAATTTTATACTCAGATAAATTTTAGGAAAATGTGCAAGTTGGATGAACGTTTCTTACCCGTTTGAATGTGATGTGATGACAGTCTGTAGCCTACAATGGGATCACGTTCCTGTGGTATCTCGTGGATTAAAACAGTCTCTTCATCCGATTGAAATCACAAAAACATCACTGGATGTTTAAAATGTAATATTTAAAAGTAATAGTTTACAAATAAATTAATAACAGGCAGAGCTGCAAAATGACCTCATGCAGAAAGTAAAATGTCTTTTCACATGTACATGGGAAAATATGATACTGTTAAATAACAGTGTCATACTGTTGCTGGTCAAGACTAAATTTGAAGCGACCAAGTTCTCCCATAATGCATTGCAAAAAAACAGTAACTTACAGTTATTACATGAAAACAGCATTTTGCTGCTAAATTTCCATGTAAATTTCCAGGAATTTTTTACAGTGTAGATATAGAGAGTAGAGACCACACTCGTTATGCCCTACTGTTGCTCTCACGGAACAGATAGGCTTATTTAACTTTTTAGTGTTAAATAAAAAGTACCGTCAGATGAAATCCTGCAGCTGTCAGTGCTTTCTCTCCGTCCATGCAGTAACTTAGGGTGTATTCACACCAGGAAAGTCCGATAGTTCACTTGCTCTGGTCCGGACCAAATAATCTTTTTTTTTTTTTTTTTTACGGTTCGCTTTCACACTGCTCTTTTTGCAAGTGAACCAAAATGTGTAAACAAAACCACACGTGTGCTAAGGTCGTCCATTCATTGGACAAGGATTCTCAAGTAGGGAAATCAGGAAGTGCAAAAAAGGCTCAGCATGGAGATATTTCGTACTGCAATATTTGTTATTTGACTAATTTTGTGTTATATTCTGTACAAACGCAATATGAAGAAACTGCGCAGAAGACGGATAAGGTATACAGTTTTGATTCATAGAGAGGGGCTATGTTCACACATTCAAATAATGAGATTCTTATTGTATATACTGCTAACAAGTGCTGTCAATGTTAACGCTTGCGATTTAAGTTTGTCCAGTTTAACGCAGCGTCATCCTTGTAACTATTATATGAACTGCAAAAGCTTTTTTTTGCATCTATGCGCGATTAGACTAAAGAGAACGCGCTGTATGTGAATGTCCTGATGCACACACTCATTCATTGATTCATTCCATTCCAATGATGCACACACACGACGCGCAACAGTATCGTGTGGCCAGACAGCGCGCCGGAATGGAATTCTCTTTCGCACTTGAACAACAATAACACAAACCATTATGCCAAAATCTCCGACTACGGAAGCCTTTTAACTCAAAGGCACAGTGCTTTCTTGCAATTGGGTCGGTTCATGTTCACACCGTAAACGAACCATACCAGAGTTCGTTTGGAAGCGTACCGAGACCACCTCTTCAGCTGGGTCTCGGTTCGTTTGTTTGGTCCACACCAGAGTTCGATTGCTGTATTCACACCTGCCCAAAAGGTCCGCACCAAGGGGGGAAACGAACTAGAGTTCGATTCAATCGAACCAAACAAGGCAGGTGTGAATACACCCTTAGATGCACACCCTGAGCGCGGATTTCAAGTGCATTTACTTGAACTTCGAGGTAATATCTTTGGTTTAACCCATTTGAGAAATTGAGAGGCGGCCAAAATCAGATTTTAAAATGGACTGAATAAAGCTCTTTACGAACTTGACATGCGATGCCATGCTGACTGACATGTATGTGGATCATCCACATACATGTCAGTCACCATGGCATCGCATGTCAAGTTCGTAAAGAGCTTGTGGATGAATCACTGTCACACGCACAAGCTCAGAGCAATATTGTAAGTTACTGCATGATAATACATTTTTATAGCAGAATAATAATGCATCACGATACACAGTCTCACTTTTAGTTACGTCTTTTACCTATTATAATATTTTCGAAGGGCAAAAACATGAACTTTAACTATTGGCTTTACTTCTTCAATCAGCTGTCACTTCAGCGCGAGGCCAGTAGCATATAGCATTAGCACCTCAACTCCACCCACGTCCCACCTCTTTGCTCATTTTATTTTAT